GTCCCTTATTGTAAAATGCACATGCATCTTTTTGAAAATTAAGAAGAAATGTGAGCAAAATAATATACATTTATAATATGGTATTAGAGCCATTCTATTCTAGGAGGTCTGATTAATCTGTGGAGCTTTCATATCTACCAAGGTTCCACCTTGACCAAATTTATTTGGAGGAGGGAGCTATGAAAGCTTCGAATAAATTTGGTCAATGTGGAAGATTGGTAGCTATGAACGCTCCAAATAAATTTGGTCAAGATGGAAGATCGATAGCTATGAAGGATATGTCGATTGATCAAACCTTCAATAGGAGGGTACTACCATACTTGTAAGTTGTGAAGAGGGGAGTTGTTGCATTTCTGGTGCATGCAGACACTGCCCCTCTTCCATAAAGTTTGACAGACCCTGTTTTGCTGCGTGAGGAGAAGACTAATTCTCTCTTTGTTAATATGTTTGAGTTCCTCCTAGAAACTCACTTGGTGTTGATCATTGTTAGTAAGCATGGTGAGAGCCAATCTGGGTTGAGCAGCAACAGTTGGTGTCCCTTGGAAACCACACCCAAGCTCACTCCCTCTGTAGTTTTTCTTTCAAGATTGGTCAGGTAGAACATGGTCACACTTAAGAAGTTAGATAGCTTATGGATTGCTCCTTTGCCTTTTTGTTCTTGAGATTATATGATCGCCGTAGCCTATCGTAACTCTATGTTGGAGGTTTTTATCGGGGATTCTCAGTGTTGAAGTAGTTCTTCTGAAGGAACCTGACCTAAAGTTAGAGATTCAAAATTGGGTTGCATTTATGGATATTTTAGTTGGTGTGAATAATAGTGTGACATGGGAGACTCTATCGCAGAGTTTTGGTTTAAGAATTTGCAATGGTTATCTCTGTCCTTTACTTTTTATTTTTGGTAAGAAACCATTTCATAGATAATCCGTAATTAGAAAGTGAATGAAGACCCAATCAAAATTCTCTTCATTATCCTATCAAGGAGCCTTGAGCCTTAGAAGTAGAGTGGCCTTAAATAAGTTCCCTTTATGTAATCTTTTTCGCTTTGTGGGAGTTTTGTATGGGGGGATTTTGAAAAGATTTAAATCTATCGAGTTTAATCTTATTTGGTTTTTGTTAACTGAATAGCTTTCTTGTACTAACCTTTCATCTCTAGGTTGGGTTGGATTACTTCTTCCTTCACTCCTCGTGTATACATTTTCAAGTCATTTATGTTTGTTTCTTATCCTAAAGAAAAATAGACTTCATATATTCTAAATTTCCAAAAAAATTTCTGAATAGTAGTAGTATAGACAAGATTTTAACCTGTCTAATGTATCAATCGCATGTCTTCGTGCTAAATTTCATTTATCGGTTGCTTCTACCTATAGACCCCAGGTTGCAAAATGCCATTCCTCCCAACACAACCAATATGCAGCTTAGGTTCTTGCCAGATGAACGTAGTTCTTTATTCTCTAAACTTGGAAGAATTAACTTGAAAGAGAGTAGAATTAGCTCAGGACAGTTGGGCATTCCATTTTGGTCAATGGTAATCCTAGGGAAGGATAGAGATCGCAGACAATGTGACCCTCTCTTGGTTGTGAACATCTTGAGTAGGACCATCTCGAAAGGGTGAAGGGTAATAGGGTTCTAGGTTGGGAGGGATAAAATGGCCTTGTCTCATCTCCCGTTTGATAATACACTTTTTTCTTGTCCAGTGAGGTGAATTCTTTCCATAACCTGAATCAGATCCTAACTTATTTGGGCTAGTTTAGGGCTTTAGATAAGCAGAGACAAGTGTCAGATCTTGGGCCTTAACTCTGACCCTATTAGGTTGGGCAGATGGGCATCTTTCATAGGGTGTAAGGTTGGTGTCTTCCCTTCTTCCAATTTAGGTCTCCCTCTTGGTCCTGAAGGAGACCCTCATTCATGGATCTGGTCTACAATAAGATCCGTAAGAGTTTAGCTTCTTGGAGAAAGAGTTTCTTTTCAAAAGGTGGGAGACTCACTCACTCTTATTCAGTCTGTTTTCTGTGGCGTCCCTACCTATTTCAGGTCCCTTTCTAGAATGCCTATTTGTGTCAGTTAGGAAAAGCTAATAAGGGATGTCTTATGATGAGAGGGGTGGATAAATGGAGAGGCTCACATCTTGTGAGTTGGGAGGTGGAGTCTAGGTCGTTCGACTTAGGATGTTTAGGCATTATAATGTAAGGGTGAGAAACAAGGCTCTGTTGTCTAAAATGGCTTTGGCAGGATAAGTAAGTGGTTGAGGATAGAGCTCCTTGTTTCCTCAATTATATCACTAGGCTTCGTTGAGGAATCAATTGGTGGCTTCATTCCTTTTGCTCTCATTTTTCTTTTGAAGCCACCCTTCTTCCTCCTTTGGTTTATATCATGCGTTAATCAAGAGGGAAGTAATAAATGTTATAGCTTTGTTATCCCTGATTAGTGAGTTTTGGTTCAGTCTGAATAGAGGGATGATTGCCTTTGGAGTCCTTGTCTATCCAAGGGCTTTTCGTGCATATTTTTATTTTTATTTTTGAGTGTGTAGTTAGTCTTGCCTTGTTGAGTGCTTTTGTCTTCTTATCTTTGTGGAAGGTGAAGGTAAGTTTTTGTGAGGCAGGTTTGGCATGTAAAGGATAACGCTTTGGATCGAATTTTGACCCAAGTGCCCCTCTTCGTAGGGCCATTTTGTTGTATTATTTTCAAGAGGGCAGCTAAGAACCTTGTTCATATACTCTGATATTATCACTTGCTTTGGTGCTGTTTCTTTGGGGAGTTTGGTTTTAGCTTTGTTGATCCAGGGGATACTAGTAGACTTGTCCATGGTATTTCATTTTTTGCCTTTTCGCGAGTAAGGATTGTTTATGTGGCAGGTTGTAGCTTGTGCTATTATGCGGAGTCGGTCTTTTGCAACTGTTCGATGGGTCTTCTTGCTTGATTAAAGCTCCTTTTTGTAGCTTGGCGCCCCTTTTATGACCTTTTCTTTTTTTCACATGCCCATACATTCTTTTAATTTTTTCTCAATGAAAGTTCGATTTTCATGAAAGAAAATTGTATGTAAAGCATTCGATTAACCGTACAGTCTTGTTCCATATGTCAGCTTGGAGACGACTTTGAGAAACTTTTCATGCCTGACAACTGGGGACAGCATCATGGTGGCATATAACAACAAGAAATATTACATTGATATAATTGAAACGAAGCCTTCAAATGCTATAAGCATAATTGAGACCGACTGTGAAGTGGACTTTGCACCCCCTTTAGACTACAAAGAACCTCAAAAGCCAGTTGCTTCCCTTCCTACGGGAAAGGCTCCAGTTCAAGGTCAGACCTGATGTTTTATTTATGTGGTGTGACTTTATGAACTTACATAGCAACATAGAACTCTGCTTGTCTTTGCCAATTTCTCTATGTGATCAGATTGAAATGTGACCAAATGCATATTCTTTTTCTTACAGACGAGCAACCCACTGCAGAAGCTGAACCCAAATTCAACCCGTTCACTGGAGTCGGGAGGCGTTTAGACGGGAAACCATCTAAGCAACAGCCGTCATTATCTTCAACTTCAGCATCCAAAGACAAGCAAATTGATACCAGAAACGTTAGTGGCCAGCCTTCTGCTGGGTCTAGCTCTCAAAATGCTACGAGGCAGTCTCAGGGAAAGCTCGTCTTCGGAGCAAATGCAAGCCGAAATCCCAAGGAAACTAAGAAGGTTTGGCCTTTTTCTTTGTGTCATTTTATGCACGTTCCTTCCCTCTGTTAATACTCCTTGTCATACAAAATAACTTAAATAAAAATGATAAACTGACTGTAAAGCTGATATGTTCCAGGAAACTGAGAAGGATGGTAAGCAAGAGCAGCAGCCCAAAGAGAAAGAAGAGGCGAAGTTCCAGCCATTTGCTGGGAAGAAGTATTCATTGAGAGGATAGCGAGATACCGAGGCTATTGTCGACATCAACGCTATTTATCCTGTTTTATCTACTATGCTTTTGTGATAGCAACAGTTTTACAAGTGAAAATTTAGTTGAAATGTAAGATTTTCATGCACAGATATGTTCTTTTATTTATCAGAAATTGTACATTGCGTAAATCAGAAATCGTTGCTATTTAAAATCTTCTTTGAGGTGGTCATATGTTCTTTCTTTTATTTAGAATCTTATTTCAATTCTTTTAGGGTAAACTTGACTCAATGTTGGGTATCAAATCTGCTATTAATGTGGCCTTTCTGTCCACAGTATAGGATAGAATCTGCCGCTCAAATTAGAAGTCATGCTACAAATTGAAAATGGAATTAGCACAATTTGTCCGAGTTAATTTTAGAATTCCATCTATTTTCTATTTTCTAGGTTTGATAAAGTGCAAGTTTTCTAGATATTGATGAATTTTACTGTTAGAATTGAATTTTATTGCTAGAAGATATTGTACGTTTTGACTGTTTGTCTCACAGTTTTAAAATTTTGATATTGTACGGTTTGACCTATTACATATTGCCCTTTCTCATAATTTTAAGACAATTTTAAAATATTTCTACCATGAAAGGTTTTCTATCAAACCAACCAAACTCTAGTCATTTTTACGACGGATATTTTGTTGGCATAGATTTAAAAATGAGCACTTTTGTAAAAATTACATATAGAGCATCTTGAAAAGTAATTTTATTTTGGTAAAAGCATTTTGACCTTAGACTTGCATGAAAGTATTTTCATGTTCCGTTGTCAGATAATAATTTTCACAAGCGCTCATCTCTGAAACCATCCCAAAAGAAAGAAAGCAGCCTTCAATTACCAGAAACCTTTCTTAGTATATCTAAAAGGTCATGTAATTCACCGTCACCGAAGTATATCGAAGTAGCCACGGTCTCAACATCCAATGAAATGACAGCCAAGATCCTTTGGGAGGAAAACAGAAACCCACATGAATAGAAAAATACTCAATCAATTGATTGTTATTAAGTTGAAGTCGTTTCGTTAAGTCAAAACGAAAGGTCAGTGAAGCAATGAAAAAGGGATAGTTCCAGGCAGGTCATGCAAAGGATGAACGCTTAAATTAACCAAGAGTTGCAACATCACTCACCGTTCCAATGGTGATTTTTCTACGTCAAATTTGCATATCTAAGAAAAAGTAGAAAGCAAATCAACAAGGAATTACTATGATTTGTGTTCATTCAAAGTTTACACATCAAAAAGCTCCTTTTATCATCAACTCAGACGAAGCAACCAACCATTTAAACCTGCACCAGTCAAGATATAGCTTTCTATATAAGAACTCCAACCAAAAAATATCCAAGACTTTAAGTGAATATAATTACTGAAAACTATTGTTAATTGTAGTATTACTAAATGGTTTCTTAGAAAAAAAGTGAGAGCGATTCGAAACAGTAGGCTAATAATTTCTCTGTTTTTCATCTTTGGAAAATTGTTTTCAGTAACATCAGGTAAAATGAGTTTTACAAATTTCACTCGGTAAAGGACTCATTTTTTCAGTTTAATAATTTCCATGCAATATTACCAACTCGTCAGTTACGTACAATAATATAAGCCAATAACAATCGAACTCGAGTTGCATTCAGATTGGGGAAAATAGGCTTTGTTGCTATCAGCATCCAAACGTAAGCTTACCTTTATTCGTTACCAGAAAATGAAGATTTCAGTGATCTTCCCGTCCATAGTTATATATTATCTCAACCTGTACCATTATACACAGATGCTGGCGTCAGTGAATCTGTTCGATACTACAGTCTAACAGTACATAAAAATTAATCCAAGGGTCAAAGTAGAGATCTCAAGCCATCAGCACATGACAAGAATAAAACGGCCAAAGAAGATTATTGTGCTCTTATTGTCCTCTTTTTCATTTTCAAGTGCTCCTAGTGTAGGGCAAAGAGAGTCTAACTTTCAGAAGTGCATTATATTTTTAAAAAACAATGTCACATGGGAACAAATATACACATGTCACGACGTTGTGTTTCTTTTTGAACATTTCATTTGAACCTCTAACCTCTTGGTTGAGGACACATGACTCATGCTAGTTGACCTATGCTTAGAGTAATGAGCGAAATGCAGAGCGCTTATAATTGTTATGGCCTCTATAAAATGGTCACTCTTAAATAGTCCTAATGATAAGGTGGTTAACGATGCTAGATAATTCTGTAATGCATAAAAACTAGATATATGCAAATAATAAAATACATCGTGAAGAAATGAAGAGAAGGAATGAATATTTAGAAAACAAAAATTTAAAAGAATAAGTGAACCTTCTTTTTAAAAGAAACTTACCCCAGGAGGTGGAGTTGGGTTTCGCGTAAACTTAGAACCCCCAGGAGCCCAAGGAACTGCAGTATAAAGGAAAAGGAAAAAATATTAAAGGATAAATGGCTGCACAAATACAGTACATCAAAGCAAGATTGAAATAACAGACATGAAATTGTGATAAAAAGTTGAATACCAGGAGGCAACCATTTGTGGGTTGGAAGGGGGGAAGGAAGCCTTATTAGATAAATATGTTTGCAACTTGACTAATTATCATCTACAAATATATTCCAGAATTGTCGACATGTGTTCCAAACTCATTGAAGACCATGATACTCTATGAAAAAGAAAACTACATTTCACAAAAGCTTTTTGCAGAGGTTAACACACATATGGGACTGAAGATCTTTTATGAAGCAAATATCCTCATAACCCAATATGGAGCTGGTTACTTTGATGCAATCAGGGATGTTAAGGGGATGGATGGGTATTCATATGATTGGGTCTAATTGGTAGTATTAAACGATCCTGAGAATCTAAGATACCAAGGCATCCATTATGGTATGGCATCTAGTCCATTTTCTTACTCTTCCCTTCATTAGACTTTTGAGACAATAATCCTATTAACCACTCTCACTCTAGTTTTATTGTTCGGAAAATAAGCAAAATAAAAAATAAAACTCTTACCACTTCTATCCAAGATCCTCACCAGTCAACCAACGGAAAAAAAAACAATATTACAGTAACTAATTCTAGGAATTCAACAATATATCATGTAAGTAAACTATATTCATATGAAAAAAGTACACAAACTTAACTGTTAAAATACTATTTCACAAGAGAATCTAAAACTAATATAAATTAATTAAAATATTAAATTAATGTAAATAAGTTGATTTAAAAGAGAAAGTAAAAAGGTAATTTGACAAATTTGATACATTGAATAAATAACAATAAACTAGTAACAATGACATGGTCAGAACAAAGTTGATTTCTTTTTTTCAATCTAATGGAGTAGTTATTGCAAAATAACACAATGGTTTATTATTTGCAAGCATCTTAATAAATATTGAAAACCATAATCTTTCACTATCAAGCATCCAAAGTTGCAGGCATCGTAGATTATTTGATACAGAAGAAACGACCCCTAAAGGAAAAGCCAAGACGTGGTGGCTAGTTACTATAATTCCAACCTACTGAATTGATTCTTAGGATGAGAAAAATCATAGGTTTTTTTCACTAAACTCACAAATATTATGTTCATATGGTTTCCATGATGCTATTTCTATTATTCAAAAGGGAAGAAAAGAAAAACAACATTTTAGTGGTATTTAAAATAAACAGAAACCATACTCGGGGCAGATTAAAGTTGAAGACCAAAAATTTAACAGTAGTCAATTTCATTATTAACATACTACATAATCAGTAACAGCATTCAATTTGGCAGCATGTAGAGTTGCTTTCTTTTGTTAACTGACACATGATCTAACCCATTTATGATTGTGCTTACCGATATAGGGATCAGGATGTCGCCACTTATTATAGGAAGCTTCCCCATCAGCTATCAGCTTGTCTATTGTGTCAAGATCTTCCTGAAAATTAACCCAAAGAAGGATCCATAACAGCATAGATCAATAGAAAAGAAACTGAAATTATAGCTTGCTAGCTAAAATCTGGTCAGTCCATACATGTAGACCTTGCAACATATTCAGAGCTTGAACACTCCCTTAATCTAGATCCCAGATTTAAACAAAATTCCAAAAACATAATTGGATCTCTAAGTCCTACTCTGAGTTTATTGAAACCCCTCAAAGCTCGCTAGGTCACAAATATAATTAGAAGTTAATTCCGATAAGTTTCACAGTGCAGTCCAACATCAAATTTCAAACTTTTTTTTTTATACTTTAAATCCATGGAGCAGGAGAAAGCTATGCATACATAAGAAAACCTATTCAATTGTTCAATTTTTTAGGAATACAAAATTATATAAGAGAAGGCTTACTTATTTGAAACACAAATTGGAGACAATATAATCCTTACATAAGGGGCATCCTACAGTTGCCTTGAAAATAGCTTAATAGGTTAAGACATATATCCTGAATCTTCACTCCCACATGTTATTGAAATAAATAAAGGACAACCTACACAACTTCCATGCACAAATCCTTTGAATATGGACGATCATCCTAATCAATTCCCGGCAAATCGTAACATTTCGTTTGTAAAATACACAATTTTCCAAATACAGTAAACAGATGAAATTCAAGGATCAATCAACAATGCTCATCCCAGAGAATAAAGAGACTAAAGCACCATATAAGCACCCATCCAAAACTATCAATACAAACCACAATTTAATGTTCCATCAAGTGTCATAAAACAATTTAAACGCCAAATGCTCGTAAGAAAACTCAACGCAAGTAAATTGGACTACAGCTCCCCTAGGTCAACTAACTCAAAATAGATCGCAATGCAGAAAAGAGCAAAAAAATCGATACAAAAAACAAAAATTGAAGGAACAAATAGAGAACGCACCACGTTCTTGTTTGCCTCGAATCTCTCCCGAAGATCGGAAGCCTGAATCAAAGCTCGATTAGAAAGAAATGACCAAATCAGTTTAGGATCGAAGAAATCTGAAAACAGAGGAGGAAATAGAAGGAAAAGAAAAATTGTATACATCTCGGTAAAAGAGATGACGATGGACGGCCCAGTTGAGAGTCTCTTTGAGGGCTCGCCGGTAAAGAATCCGAACCCTCTCCCTCTGGGCGGCTCGCCGAGCCAAATATCCCGCCGTCGACGAAATGCTCATCTCTCTCTCTCTCTCTCTCTAGAAATGGCTTTGGAATCACTTAGTTGTTGTTTCTTAGGGACTAACACCGGAGATGACGCCGTTTAATGGGTTGGACGATCAAAACGCACCGTTTAGTACGGAAAATATTATTATAATAAAAATTAAACTTTTAAAATTTATTGAATTTATAACTAAATTTTCGACATTTTCAAATTATAAACTAAAATAAAATTATATTTAAAGTATGGAACTAAACTCGTATTTTAATCCTATTTTATTTTTATCGTTTATATTAGAAAAATTGACATTTTCAACTAGAATAAAATTCACGACCCGACTCTCTATTCACAAGTTGGAGCGGGATGGGTTGTCAGATTTTTTTTTTTAATTGTTAAAAAAATTCTATTTATCTACGATATATTTCATGAAATTCAAATATTAAATATTCATAAGTCACAATACGTCATTAAGATCGATTACAAACGTTACATATTCTTAATCACTATGATCTTAAAAGTATAGTGAGTATAGTAGGGTTGAGTTGAGTTGTGTAACAGTTCAAACTCGCCACTAACAGATATTGTCCGTTTGTTATGTATCGTCGTCTGTCTCATGGTTTTAAACACGTATGATAGGAAGAGGTTTCCACATCCTTATAAGGAATGTTTCGTTACTCTCTCCAACTGACATAAGATCTCATAATCCACCCATTGGGGGCCAACGTCCTCGCCGATACACCGCCCAGTACCCGGTTCTGATGCCATTTGTAACCGCTCAAGTCCACCGCTAACATATATTGTCCGTTTTTTCTCGTTACGTATTGTTGTTAGCCTCACGGTTTTTAAAATGCATATGTAGGGAGAGGTTTCCACATTCTTACAAGGAATACTTTGTTCCCCCTCTCCAACCGAGGTGTGATCTCACAATCTACTTTCATTGAGGACCCGGCGTCCTCGCTGGTACACCGACCAATGTTTGACTCTGGTACCAATTGTAACCGACCAAAGTGGACAATATCTAGTAACAGTGATGTTAGTCTATTATAAGTTGTAGCCCTATTTTTGGGTTGGTCGGATTGACCCGACCGAAAAATGTAAACCTGCTAACCAACTCAAAATTTTCAGTTTTTTAAAAGTTGAACCTAACCCAAGTCCGAAAAAAAAAGTCTAATCCTACCCAACTAGACAGTCCAAATTGATCGGGTTTTCGAGTCATCTAAACATCCCTCGCCTTTATTTTTGTTTTGAAATTATTATCACAAACTAGATGGGTGGAACAGTACACAGAACACTCAAAAATTTAAGGCTGCAGATGTTCTTGTTTAAACTTCACACACTTATTTGTTGTCAAGTAGCACCAAAATTTGTGGCTACACATGTTTTTGTTCTAAGTTTCTCACTTGTACCTCCTCTCAAGTAACACCACATGTTGCTTCCTCTCATCTTTTCGCCTTCGAAACACGTCAAGTTCACCTTATTTCATTTGCTTGGACGGACTCAAAAACGCCTGAGTCGACCGATACGAAGTCAAGAAAGAATTTAAAGGGCGATAAAGTGTTATGGACTGAGGATTGTTCGAGTCTCATATCGAGTCATTAAAGGAAAGATCATGAGTTATATAAGTAAGGGACACTATCTCTATTGATACGAGGCCTTTCGAGAAAACCAAAAGTAAAGACATGAAAACTTATACTCAAAATAGAGCATATCGTATCATTGTGGAGGCTTGTTGTTCTTATTTGTGGTATCAGAGTCATGCCCTTAAACAAAGAGGTTGTGAGCTCCTATGGTGTAGTTATAATGAAAATTTGTGATAGAACTCGTTATTGTGGATTTCTATTGCTCCAATTGTTGGTATTAGTGTCAGACCTTCGAACAAAGAAGTTGTGAGCTCTTAAGGAGCAGTCATAATGACTCACGTGTAAACTAAAGAAGTTGTACGCCTCAAAAATATATTCATAGTGAAGATTTGTGGTAGAGCTCGTTACCGTGAAAGTTTGTTATCCTTATTTCTAGTACAAAATCATTCCCTCGAACATAGAAACTGTGAGCCTCATAGGTTTAAGTCATAGTGAGTCAGGTGTCAAACAAAGACATCGTGAGCCTCGAATGTGTAGTCATAGTGAAAATCCATGGTAGAGCTCGTTATTGTGAAGGTTCGTTGTTCCTATTTCTGTTATCAAAGTCATGCCCTCGAGCAAAAAAGTTTTAAAATGCGTCTGTTAAGGAGAGGTTTCCACACCCTTGTAAGGTATGCTTCGTTCCCCTCTCCAACTGATGTTAGATATCACCGTTGTAAACTTCAAAGGTAAGGAATCCTTCGTTTCTCTCTCCAACTGATGTGGGATATCACCGTTGTGAACTTCAGAGGTAAGGAATCCTTCGTTTCTCTCTCTAACTGATGTGGGATCTCACGATTGTGAGCTTCAAAGGTGTAGTCATAGTAAAGATTCATAGTACTGAACTGTGCTATACTTTGTTCGAGAGGATAACGGTTGAGTATTATACAAGTAAATAACACTATCTCTATTGATTTGAACGATCGATCAAATCAAGATCAAATCAAGTAGGAGCCAAAATTTCCCAGACCATGATGCAAGTGGTGGTTCCCTGCCATGCTGTGGTCTCTCTCACTCTAAGCTGTTGAGATATGTTCTTCACGTTCTTGTCTTGATGCATGAGTCATGATTCTATGGTCCATAACAATTCATGAACTACAAGGCTTGCCTCGTTGTTCTTGATCTAAAATGGTCATGAATTTGTAATATTTTTCAAACATAGCCTGATTATAATATATAAGCTCATGATTCATGCAAATTCAAGTATCTTACATAGATTCAAAACACCAAACTAAACTAAATTCATCAACAAAATGTTCATTAAGCTGCTAAGAAAACACAAAAACAGTTTTGTGTTCTTTTTAAATCGCTATAAAGCATCATCGTCGTCGTCATTGTCATCATGTTCTTCATCGATCAGTACGAGTAGTTCTTGACGAACATTCCCTCGCTCGCCTCGGCAGTCTCACCCTCACTGCTGTACTTCCCGAGCTGAGCGAGCGAATTCGCCTTGGCTCGGTGAATCAGAGCATCCTGTGCTGCCTTCACATTCTCTGGCAGCCCACCCCATGTCTTCAAGCAAGTGTTTTGCAGGGCTCTAGCGTAGGAGAAGGATACGTGCCATGGGTTTGGTGCTTGGTTCATGGCGTTCAGGTTCAATGTGGCTTCTACCTCTGATTGCCCACCTGATAAAAACTGTTCCATAACAAAAAAACAACACAAAACAACAGATTCAGTGAATCAAAAACTAAAAAGTTTGGTTTTTTGTTATGATTTTGAGCTCTGTTTTCATGACTTGCCATGATTCCAGGAACAGCTGGAGGGATTCTTCGTTTGAGAAGAGACAGAGTGTACTCTGCCACTTGCTGAGGGGTGGCTTTCTCTTTGCACTCAGCTCCAGGAGTAACCATGCTTGGTTTCAGAAGAATTCCTTCAAACAAAACATTGTTTTCTGCTAAGTAGAAGAACACCTCTGCCCAAACTTTCTGTGCCACTTCGAAAGTTCTGTCGATTCCATGCTCGCCGTCGAGCAAGATCTCCGGCTCGACGATCGGAACCAACCCATTTTCCTGCAAAAACCATTGCTCAAATCAAAAACTCGAATTTAAATGGAGTTTTGTTAAAATGTAAAAAAAATGAGAAAGTTTCTGTTATGTTTCTCATTCTTAACATTATATCAAAGCTAAAATAGATGGATGTAATTGAAGATAGTATCATAAAATGTAATAAGTTAAAAAAAAAATCTTTATCGATAGGAATTAGTTTGTAGAGCAGGAGTTAGTTGGTAACTTGTCTTATAAGAACTAAAGACCGTTAGTTGGTAGTTGTATAGTAGGAGCTAGTTGGTAGCTTATATAGTAGGAGCGAGTGGGTAGTTTGTACCGTAGAAACTAGTTGGTAGTCTGTACCGTAGGAACTTGTAATTAGTTGGTTGGTAGTTTGTACAGTCGGAAGAGTTAGTTGATAGCTTGTATAGTAGGACTTAGTTGGTAGCTTGTACAGTAGGAACTTGTTCTTGTACCGTTAGTTGTTAGTTTGTATCATATTTAAACATTGTAAATGTTAATGAATATCAAACTCTATTTAAACGTGGTGAACATTAATGAAGATCGAAATTTATTTATATGTTGTGAACATTAATGAAAATCAACGAGGGTTGATTGGTTGATACCTGCGAGACAGCAGCGTAGCGAGCAAGCCCCCAAGCAGCTTCCTTGACAGCGAGCGCCGATGGGCCATTGGGAATACTCACGACTGTGCGCCTGCAAAACCGCCATTGTTAAGCCTTTTTAAGCTTTGAGATACAGAAATTAAGAACAGGATTCGATACCATTTGGCGAAACGAGCGCCCTGCTGATAGTAAGCAGCTGCACGAGAATCAAGCCCATCGAGACCTTGGCACCATGATTCATTGTTCGAACCAGCAAGTGGCACCAACCCCTGTTTTTTCCCCCAAAAAACAGAGCACCCATTATTTAATCTCTCAAAACTTCCCCTGTTTTTTCCCCCAAAAAACAGGGTACCCAATATTTAATCTCTCAATACTTCAAAAAATTCAAAATTTGAACTCACCTTATCAACTTTAATTCCAGGAACAATGCCTTGCTTAACCAAAACGTCGACAATCTTCTCGCCATCGACGGTGGATTGGTACAGAGTCTCCTCGAAAAGTATAGCGCCGGAGATGTACTTGCCGAGGTCCGGCGGAGTTACCAGCAGGGTTCTGTACGCCTGACGGTTCGCCTCCGTGTTCTCCAACCCGATCGACGCCAGCCGCTTGCCACAGGTTGCATTGGACTCATCCATGGCCAAAATCCCACGTCCCGGCGACGCAATGGTTTTCTGCAAGAAACCCATTAAAGTTCAGCAAGAAAAACAGAGTATAAACATGAACAGAGTGAAATAGAACGATACAATACGGCGGTTTTGACCAACTCATCGGCGTAGGAGCCGGCACGGACGATGAGGGTGGAGGGAGCAGCGGTGGGGTGGAAGCGGACGGCGGAGAGGGGTGGCTGGCGGAGGGATTGGCCCTTAACCCACTCGCACTTGTCGAGAACAGGGGAGGATTTGAGGAGAGAAGCAGAGGCCATTGATGAAGTGAAAAATCTTATCTTTTTTGTGTTTTCACCAACGCTCTGTGATCTGGTTGTTGCTGCCTCGTGGCCACAAATGGGAAGCCTTCTCTTTGTATTTATAGTTGATTAAGGATTGCCAATTTGCGGCCATTGTCCATCTTCCAATATTTCTCTGCCACGTGGATGATAACTTTGCTGACTTGGCACTGTCCCTATTTATTTATTTTTTTTTATTTTTTTTTTGTCATCTCTTATTATTATTATTATTAATTATTTCTTAAAATTGAATTGGAGAAAGGGTTATCACATCCATGGCTTTCTCAAAATATGAGGCTCTTGATGATTTTGTGATCACTAGAAAGAACGGTTGATAGCTTGCCACGTCAGCATCTTGGAGGTGATAATTTCCTTTATGATGATGAATTTCCAAATGGACCTTTTTGGTTTTATTTGTTTGATTCATTATGTGTGGTTAATAGTAGTGTGTGGATGGGAGGAAGTACGGTTTGTGTATAGGAAATTCGGGGTCTCGCCTTTTTTGGGTTATGCTAGAGAATTGAGCTCTCATTTGATAACGTTCGTGTTTCATGTTACATTTATTTTTAAGAAACTAGAAGAAGAAATATGTTCGATAAATGTGAGATCCTATGTCAGTTAGAGAGATAAACAAAGCATTCATTACAAGGGTATGAAAATTTCTCGCTAATAGACGTGTAATTGAGAAAGTCTGGAAGATAAAGTCTAAAGATGATAGTATTTGTGTAATCCTAAAAAACTCGTAAAAACGATACAAAGTGGACATTGTTTCTTATTTCTCGTTTCTTCCGACCCTAAATTTAGAAACGGGAATTAATTAACTAAGTTATATTCATCGATTAAACTGAGTTTGATTTGAAATGTCATTATTTGTGGGAAAGAAAATTGAGTAATTTTCATGTGAAAATAATATAATATATGTTTAAAAATAAAAAAAATAATGACTAGATATACAAATAAAATAATTTTTTTAGTTTAAAATGTAAATTTTGTAATATATAAAGGTATTATTTTCTTAAAATTAGATTTAAAAAGTATTTAAGTTGCATGGAGAAAAAATAAATTTTCAATAAACACTAAATTAAATAAATTTCTTGAAATACGATCATAGTTTTCTATAAATAAACACTTTGTAAAATGAAGTAGATTAAAATGAAAATTCTAAAAATAAATTAATTAAAATTGAAAAAATTTGAAAATACATACATAAAAAAAATGATAATACAAATAAACCAAAGAAATATTTAAAAAGAAATAAAATACATTTGTTTCCTTTTCTTTTTTTCTATAAATAAAGAAAATAACCATTTTTAATTAGAACTTCATAATTTCCAAATTCCAGAAAAAAAAAATAGAAAAAAATAGGATAAAATAAAACTTCCGTTCCCGGGATTTGAACCCGGGTCTCTCAGGTGAGAGCCGAGTATCCTAACCAACTAGACTACAACAGAATTTGTGTGATACAATGAAATTTATTTATCCACAATAATAAATACTATCTTTATTAATAAAATAGAAAAAAAAGAAAGAGAATAAAATTTTCGTTGGGAGGTTTTGAACCCTAAGAAAGTGATACAATGAAATTTATTTATCGTTTTTAGAATAATAAAAATACGCTAATTAATATAATAGAAAAAAAAGGAAAATAAAATAAAATTTTCCTTGCCCAATTCAAAGGATTTTTTCGTCTTTCCGCACGAATCGGACTTAAACCTAGGTTTTTTGTGAGAGCGAGTATCACCATGTATACAATTTTTAAAATAATATTCTACATTAATTAATAAAATAGAAATAAAATCCTTATTAAATATTTAAAGTTGTGTCCATAAATATCTAAATTTTCATATATTAAAATATAACTAGTTTGATAAGATACCAATTATTATCGTTCTTTTAAATTTATATTTAATCTTTAAAAATATTATTAAACCACCAAATATTTATTTAAAATGCACAAAAATATTAGATATAAAAATTGAAACGTTTAGGGGCACAAACTCTAGCAACCCGAACCATCTAAAAATTAAAATTTATTAAATAAAACATTTAAAAATTAAAATACTTTATATTATTATTTATTTACTTTTCAGCTCAAAAAATAAAATATTTATTCGGTCGGTGCTTTCCATTCCTGCAAATTTCATAGCCTGCTATTTGCGAGAGAGAGCGTTTTGGACGAACCATTGCAGCTGTAATTGAATTTGATGCGCATAGCTAGCGAGAGTGTTCAAGAACTTGGAGATGGCTGAATTAGACGGAGCTCAGAATCAATCTCCTAACCTTCCTTCTAATGGCGCCAAGGATTCCATTGGCAAGTCCTGTAAGGGCTGCCTCTATTACTCTTCACTTCAGAAATCCAAATCTAAATCTCCCACCTGCGTTGGATTCTCCAAAACCCTCGAACAAGGTACATCTTTATTGCTTTCCTTACTGCATGTTCATATTCCGTTGGATTAGTGATTACCATGAAATTGGGGGTATCGGTAAATGGTTGAGAATCTTTTTAGATTCGTGATTTTGTTGTATTCGATTTCAATTTGGGTTCTGATATGGCTGGTTCTTGAAATTCTAGGAGCTTGAAATTGTTTTTGCTTTTTTTCTGATTGTTTCATCCTAGGAAGCTATTTTGAACCCTATCATGGATGTTTATGCCTTGGTGGATAAGCTCCCAGTAGTTGTAGAACTTGATATTTGTTGGGTCAAGATGCCACAACCGAGTGTCTTTTTGATGTAGATAGGTAAGAATAGGAGTGAAAGTGGATTAATGAAGCCCTGTTCCTGAATCTCAAAATCCAGTAGGTGAATATGAATCAAGTTATGACGAGGAAAATTTGGGAACATTATCATTAGGAGTAGGAATCTTTCAGGATCAAAGTGAAAATTGAACTTCCCTTGCAGAACATTGGCCCGATCTTATAAAGAATGGGACGAGACTATTAGCTGAACAAAGAACGTATTGAATAAACTACATTAGCTCACTTAGAAGCATGAGATAAAGTAGGAGTACTCGTGAAATGGTTTTCGGGTTAGTGTTAGGAACTGGAAAAGGTCTTTGAAAAGGGGAGAGGATTAGTCAGAAAAATACGAGCTCGTTCAGATGTCTTCGGCAGCAATGCTTTAGAATGTGATTTGTAACCATGCAAACATCAAGAAATCACTTGGAGCGTCCGAGTGGTTCTGCTAGCTGCATACTCTATTACTCTCGTTGTGGTTATTGGTCTAAACCTTTGTCATCATGTCCTAGAGATATTAGTATATATGATGGGTCATTGATTTAGCAGTTGTTTGAGTGGATACATTCATTAATCATTTGAGAATGCATGGGTCGAATATCCTAGATCTATCCATATGTAGAAGAGAATTTGGTGGAGGAATTGCCTTTGAATCTATTTAATTGTAAAGGTACGATTGTATTGACTATTGAGATTGATCTCCAACAACTCCGTTAAATGCCTATGAGTTCGAGTCTCAATACGAATGCTAGTTCTTACTGTTCTCTCCTCTCCCGATAGCTCGAAGTCAGCTTACAATGATGTTGATACAAGATATTGTAGAACTTACCAATGAGGCCCTGTTGATTAGTATTATGCAAAAGATCCGATTCTACAGGATCAAACCTATGGGACATAAGGAATGCTATGAGGGCTTGGACGGAATAAATCAAAAGTCTGCTAGGTGATCGAAATCGCTCAAGTTATTGGAGATGCGTTTTCTACGGATGATTTGTGGGTAGGAATTGAGCTTCTTTGTGAGTTATTCCCTTGCATTTATCATTTCTCTGATCGGAAGTAATTCTCAATGGCCTCTATTTTGTCTACTTTTGATTCATCCTCTTCACCTTCTTTGGGGTTTTGTTGGCAAGTCTTCGAAGGTAATGGGCATAGGAATATTTGGGTTTGGGTTCCTAATCCTCCTAAAGACTTCACTTGTTGGCCCTTTTTCCTCATTCCATGTTCCCCGTCTCCTACTCGGGGCCTTTTGGAGGTGAAAGTCCCTAAGAAAGTGAAGTTCTTTGCTTGACAAGTCTTACTAGGTAGAGTGAGCACCCAGGATTGCATCCAACGATGACATTCTTCGTAACAGCTCAAGCCCACCATTAGCATATATTGTCCTCCTTGGTCCATTACGTATTGTCATTAGTCTCACGGTTTTAAAACGTGTCTACTAGGGTGAGGTTTCCACACCCTTATGAAGAATGTTTTTGATAAGATAAGGAACCACTACAAGGGGAGTAAGATTCGGATTATCTTGTTGATCGAATATCTCAAGACAAGAACATTGTTTGAGATTCGAATCACTCCACAAGCAAGATCGATCATGTCTAGCTTGAATGATTCTTGTTGATCAAATATCTCAAACACTTGTTTGAGATTCGAATCACTCCACAAGCAAGATTGATCACGTCGAGCTTGAATGATTCTACATGCAACCTAAACTACATAGAATTGCAAAGAAACTTAGCCATTGGCTAAAGAAGAGCACAAATGCTTCTTTTACTACATTTTCCAAGTCTCTTACAAATACAACATACATGGCTTTATATAGCCTCAAAATGAAACTACTAAAGGCATTCCAAGAGTGGTAACATTCATAGTTAATTACTTAATGGTCATAATTAACCATTATGTAATTGTAACCTAAAGTAAATAAAAAGTCATAAAAACTCTAAATTACTCTAAATTGTAAACCACCCAAAATTTAGAACAATTAAACTTCATTCTTCTTCAATGTGGCATGAATTGAAACATCTTTTGATAATTTTGACAACCTTTTCTTCACATCTTCATTGAAGTATATTGTATGATTGATGTTTTTTGGTTCATATCAGTTTTGTTCTCCTCTTCAACCGACGTGGGATTTCACTTTCTTCCTTAGTGTTGTGTCCATAGTGGCATTTCATTTGTCATCAACAATTGGAGGATCTTGACCATCTTTTTCGGATTGCCAGTTTGCTTAATCCACGTGGAATCGTTGTTTTAGGCTGTTTACGTTGGTGTCTATTCTTGTAATTTGTTGAGGGCTTCTTTTTTGTTATACCCATAGTAAATATTACTTTTTGTAAGCAGTACCAAACTACATAGTGGGAGAAACCGAGCAGGAAGCTTCAAAAGAGGGAAGAAGTCTAACAGATTTCAAGTATGCTTGCGTTGGTTACTCTGTCTACTTAGAAAAGAAAGGTTCATCAAACGACGAGCAAAACAAACAAGCTGAGCTTCCGTTCTGCGTCGGTTTAGAGGTTTGTAATGCCTCATCTGCTTATGTTGTGATGCTCTGTTTATTCTTAATAGCCCTTAAAATTCATGTGTAGGCTGAATTTTTTGCCATTTTGTGGGATATTTGGGTTTATTATGAGGAACTGTTTGATTTTTAAAGGGTCTGAGACATTTGGGGAGGAGCTTTTGGGGTTCGTTAAATTTAACTCTTCTTTTCAGGTGTCTGTTAATTAGAATCTTCGGGCTAAATTAATAAATATACTCTTGAACTTTATACTTTGTCTCAAAAATTCCTCTAAACTTTCAAAAGTTTTAATAATACCCTTAAACTTTGAAAAAAATCTCAAAAACGCCCTTAAACTTAAAAAAGTTCAAAAATACCCTTACAGTTAGTTTTGGATAGAAACCGTTAATACTATGTTTCAAAAGTTTTTATGGGTATTTTTTAAACATAGTATTGACGGTAAGGGTATTTTTTAATTTAATAACGTTGGAGGGTATTAGTGAAAATGTTTAAAATTCAAGGGTATTTTTGAAACACTATTAAAAGTTCAAGAGTATTTTTGAAACATAATACGGTTCCCCTCCAAAAGTAATGATAAGGGTATTTTTTAGATTTTTATAAAGTTTAAGGGTATTTTTATTAATTTAGCCGACTCGGTCTTGTATGGTCCCTGAACCCTACAATTTTAGATGCATTTTTAGTTTATATTTCATTAAAATCTTATTCTTTTATCATTTTATACCTTGACAACAGTCATATGCTTGTTAGGTATTGTTGGACAAAAGACCTGCGCAGTCCCAAGCTCATATACATAATAAAACTGAAGGTACTCCTTCAATTTCCTTTTATCGTCTTAGATACCTTTGTTTCGAGCTCAATAAATCTGTTAATCCAATCTTGTAGAGCTTAGAAAGCACGAACACTTTGACACTGTTTAGACATGTATTGCACACTTGTGATGAATGTTTGACACTAATGGTACAAATTTAATAGCATGTATGTTAGGTGTCACGGTCATGCTTGTCCAAGGCGTGTTGTATTGGCCACATGTCGGATGTCCCGATCATGCTTGTCTAGGACGTGTTGTCCATGCCCATTCCAAACCCTTTTTGCATGCTTTCATCTTAGATAGGTCTTTACTATTACATGTTGTATCAATACGGGGGTGTATGACTTTTCACCAAAATCATGTCTACACCCGCCAAGGCTAAAATGCCCCAAAATGTTACTATAGGAGGATGGGACTAGTTGTCAATTCTTCCACCCTGAGTTATAGTAGCTTGTAGCCATATAATGTTGCCTTCTTAAATGCTTTCAAATTGTTTTCAAATGTATTTCCTCACTCACGTTTTCTAAAACAACTTTCGCAAACGTGACTCGAGTCTCGAGAATACGCCGACGTTGCTTGCGAAGTCCAAATTTCTCACGGCTGACTTGTTTGCTAGGTTAGAACAAGTGCTGCACAATCGCTGTCCCCTTTCCGCAAGAGTGTGATTGTGACATTAGGCACGCATAGGATACTGGTTTAAGCATAATAACTAGATTTTGAGAGTGAATCTTCTAACTCGTTTTTAAGCATCTTTTAAAAGAACATATTTTGATAAATTGTGTCTCGTGTCTGTGTCCGTGCTTCTTAGTCGGAGAGATATTGATCTTCAAGTTTGATCTTCGTATTCAACAGATAGCCCCGCCTTTCCACAGCCACGCAGCTATAAACCGTCGTATCCAGCTGGAGACGAGTACCTAAACAGGCAAAAACTTGCTTGACACACTATATCTTTTTGAATGCTAAATGGGTTTCAATTTATGAACAATGTCTATGAACAATGTGGTGCAGGTTTAAAAGAAACGCAGTCCTTGTCGCATCAGGTGTAGCAAGAAATGTGAACCGAGTTTGCAACTACATAAAAGAGAGCTTCGACGATATCTTATACCCTTACCGGAGACGACCCAAATGAGGTACGGTCGTCCATGGATTACTTGAATAAACATGAGTCGTTACAATAGTAGTTTGTCGAATCCCGACGTCGCCCCATCATGTGAAATATTGATCAAGTTCTTATCTTTCTTACAACTGTGTAGAGATGGGCATGGGTGTAATAAATAATGTGATGAATTTAATCATTTTTAAGGATTGTTCATGCTTGTTCTTAGTTTTTCAATTCATTTTGATGAGGGTAAATTTTGAATTACATGTGTGGTTTTTTGAATCTTTTAAGGTTTGCATATTGGTCCTTGTATTTTAAAAAGTTTTCAAAACTAGTCCTTTATTTTTTATTTTTTTTTTCTTTTATTATCTATTTTTTTACGCATAAATTCAAAAATTAAATCAAATTTTAAAAATTAAAAAAGTATTTAATTAATAAATATATCTTTAAATTTTGCACTTTTCTTTTTAACTTTTAACTCCGAAAGTTTCAATAATATCTTTAAATTTTAAAAAAAAAATTAAAAATATTTTTAACTTAGAAAATCCTTAATGCTTTATTCCAAATATTTATTCAAGGATTTCAAAAATTACCTTTTCATTTTCAAAAAAAAATTAATTTTTTTTAAAAAATAGAGTATTTCAAAAATATTCATGAACTTTTAAACGTAATATAAAAAATTGGAAATAATATGAGGTGTTGGTAGATAATTTTCGGCCATATATTATCGATAATAAATTTTTTGAACTTTTTTTAATAACGTAGTGGCATTTCCTTCGGTTACTGCATGAGCCTTATACTCATGCAGGGCGGGGTAGAGATACTGAGGTTTGACGTTTAGTAATTAAATAAGCAAATACCTTACTCCTTACGAAAAACACTTCTCGATAAGTGTAGACTCCGATGTGACATGATTTGCAGTTCACTATCACATCAGAGGAGTAAGGCACCATCCACTGTGCACCAATACCGAAGGCTTAGTGGAACTTCCTTCGGTGACTGCTACAGCAGCGGCGAGTAAGGGAAACTGCTTATTAAGTCTTGCAATAAAAGCTCTTCCCAATGTGTAGAGGCGACACATGGAAACAGCTTATTAAGTCTTGCTCTATCCTATCTTATCCTATCTTATCCTATCAGGTTTTTTCCCTATCCGGTTTTTGCAATTTCTGTATAATACTGCAGTGCTAATTACCCTCATACCTTATCAGGAGTAGGAAAGGCTAAGGCAATGCCTATTACCCACATACCTTCCGAGGATTAACTCCATCTTTCACAATGTGTTGAACAGGAAAATTAAATTGCCTTAGTTCTAAAATAACTAATAAATATTAATAAATTAAATTAAAACTGAACTAATGCAATTTAATTTTCTGTTCAATTAACTCCATCTTTCAGTTGAACAGGAAAATTAAATTGCCTTAATTCTAAATAACTAATAAATATTAATAAATTAAATTAAAACTGAAATGAGCAATTTAATTTTTCTTCAACACATTGTGAAAGATGGAGTGATAAAAGTCATTAATGCAACTTTTGAAATTTGATGAGTATTTTTTAAACATAGTATCGAAACTTTTGAAAATTAAAAAATATTTTTGAAAATAAAGTATAAAATTTAAGTATTTTTTATTAATTTAATCATTTTTTAAAATCAAATGATTATCGATAACAAGAAATTATAAAGGTATTGAGATAATTTCAACTACATATCCTACTCACCTTTATTGCCCTTCAATAATGTCCCAACAATAAATTAAAAGCTTCAATAATGTTTTTTTTTTTTTTTTTTAAATAATAATTAAAAAAATTATTATAAAAAAACAATGAAAGGAAGGCAACTCTGTAGAGAAAGTATGAATATTTATATTCGAAATTATCTAAATTAATACAAAAATAGAAAAATCTCTATTTTTTTTTTTTTTTCCTACCTAATCTAATTAATCAAATTAATTTCACAAAAATACTATAATAAAATTAATGCTCTGCCTAATTTCTCCCCTAACCTACAACTATAAATTGGATTCCCTTTTTAGCCCTACAACAAAATCCAACCGGTTCAGCCGGTTGGTCGGTTTTAGTAACTCCGGACCATTGGAGTCAACTCGGTTGCCGGTTGGGAGACCTCCTTCATCTTCCTCATTTCGAGCACTTTTCGATGGCTGTTTGAGTGAACATTGCTGCAAAAAGTGGGGCTCAACGCCGGTCTATACTCTGGAAAAAGCCGACCGGATTTATACCGGACCCCACAAGCGTTGCAGAGTGTTTTGGCCCCGTGTGGACCGGTTCGCCATTGTGGGGTCTTCTGAACCAGACAATGACTACACCGCCGCGGAATCTGACCGGTCAAACCACCGGATTGAAGAGCTGTCGGCGACGATGTTATTGACTTTTTCCTTTGCTTCTTCGGAGGCTCGCCGGCGGCGTTTGAAGAGTCCACGTTCTCGCCGGCGTCGGAGAAGATGAACCACTGTGAGGCGGAGGAAACGCCGGAGGACGTCGAGGAGGAGGATGACGACGACGATTGGTTCAGAGAAGAACCGGTGGATTTCGTTTGCCGACTTTGTCTCGACCTTTTCGTCCTTGGTTTGACCGGAACAAACGTCGGCAAACACGAAATTACACCTCCGGCGAGGTTCTTTTCCGGCTCGGAGCGGCTGAAAGCCACGGCGGCGCTGGAAAATCCCAGCCGAGAATCGTCGACGAAATGAGAAACCCATTCAAGCTCCGCCAGAGCATCGCCCTGAGAAGACGAAGATTCCAATTTCGATTTTAAAATTTTTAAAAAAAACTTCAAAAACCCACCAAAACAAACAAAACCCCAGAAATTAATTTACCGGAATAGCAAGCTCAACGGCAAGAAGCGACTTCGAGTCCTCCTCTCCGGCAGCCGGAATCTCGCCGGACTGGTTCGAATCCGACGAAACAGAGACCAAATCTTTCTCAAACTCTTGATAATCGTCATTTTCCTCAACTCTCAAAGCAGACCCATGTTCAAAATCTCCATTAGAGAAGTTAAAAAACTCGTCGACTTCAAACTCCTCGCCGGCGACGAGATTAGCTCCGTTCAAACACCAAATTTCCTCCACCAAAGCGTCTTGTTGAGCAGATTCCATGGCTAATTCCCAGTGGAAACTCGATTTCAAAGCCTTAGCTTCCAAACACTCCATTTTTTTCTAAAACCCAAAAGAAAAAACAAATGATTTAGTAAAAAAAACACCAAAAAAACACAAAATTATTGGTGTTCTTCGTAATAACTATTACCTGTCTGAGAGGGTGGGGAATAATTGCAGGCAGGAAAGGAAAAGACGGGTCAGAGCGGCAGTTGCAGATTCCAAAATATATAAATAAATATAAATTAATTATTATTATTTTTTTTTTTGGTTTACTTTTGTGGACACATGGTTTGATCATATGGTGGGGCTGACTTTTCTTGGCCTCGGTGGACAGCAGGCTTTAGCCGGCTTCTCCTTCTTCTTCTTCTTCCACCCAACTGCGCCATCACTCTTTATTATCATTTTTTTTTTAACGTATTTTAATTTTATTCGGTGATTTTTGTACCCATGGTTTAGGGATTATTGCTTTTTTAAATGGAATGGTCAAAAACTATGGTAAATTTTTTATATTGAACGGTGTTCAAATCTTGATCGTCTATTGAACTAATTATAGAGGTGTACACGGGTTAGATTGGAAAAAGCGTTTAGACCGAGTTGATGACCCGAGCAATGTTATATTAATACCTAAAATCTCGTAAAGTTAAAATATCAAACATTTACAAGTTGAAACGTATCGCCGGTATTTGTTACAAACGTTAAATATTTTTAATTTTTTTAAAAGTATGATAGGGTTGATTGAGTTTGACAACACCTCTAAGTGAAACGGACGGGATGAAGCCTAGAAGAAAACTATAATAAAAAAGAATGGCACGAGGGACATAGATTGCATTTGGATTAAGAATTTATTAAATACAAAATTAACATTTGATAGATATATTAAACACGAATAAGATCTTATTCATGCTTAATACTCTAAAATATTCTAAACTAAAGAACATTATTATTTTCTTTTCTTATATTTTTTTTTTAAATTGAAAGACGGTATCCAATTTAACCATGGTCGTAATTATTTTTCTGTAATTTAACGAGAATCTAAGATTTAAACTATTGATTAATAGAGGTGTTTATGAGTTGGGCTCGACTGCATCTAGCTAGATGTAATTTAAACCAAACTCTAGTTGTAAATTTTAACTTTAAATAATCAAATTAACTCAACTTAAACATAAAATATTTAGATTGCGTTAAACCTATTTGTTCGATCATTTATTTTAATTTTATTTGTAATAAAAATGAAATTTTAATAAATAAAATATTTATTTATTTATTTATTCACTCTCAAACATTCGAAAAAGTATTTGCAACTCGATTGAATTTATATATATATAATTAATTGCACGACAAACAATTTTTTTAAAAAATCAACCATAAATTTAAATAAAACAATTATAAATTATTTTTTTTAATTAATCTAATCAATTAAATTATATTCAAGTTGAAAATTAAAAACGGAGAAGTGGGACCCACGTGTGAAGGGTTGAAATTGGAAATTGAATTTTCCATTATTTACGACAATCGAATTTTTAGATTTTTTTTGTTTTTTTTTTTTTTTTTGGCTTTTCCGCGTTAATTACGATTCTAGATTTCCTTTTTTTTTTTTTTTTTCAAATTTTCTTACTTTTATAACCTGCTATTCTGGCGGATCATGAGCGACTTTTCTTACCCCACAGCCACAAAAGCGCGTGTAACAAATCTCCAGCTCAGATGTTTAATCATTCAAATCCAAACCGTTGATCGCACGGCGCGTATAGCCACGTGAATGGTTGATCTGCATTGTTGTTTATCAGTCATTGGGTGGCAGAATATTATGGAAACTCGCGTTGGCAGGCACCATGAGCGCGTTGTATAATTGACTTTTTTTTTTTTTTTTTTCTTTTCTTTTCTTTTTTGGAGAAAAAATAATTAAATCTTTTTGGAGAAAATCTGTATTTTTCAGTATTTCTAAATATTTTTATTTCTTTTATGTTTGAATAAATAAACCATTAAATTTTTTTTTGAGAAAATCGCACTCTTGATAGCCGCCGACTTGCAAATGTACTACACTCACTTTCTAATAACAAATGAGCTAAGTCAATTCGTTTTTATGTCGCCTACGGCTAAACGACGTATGTTCGAGCCTTTGAC